ACAAACCTCATAATGATAGTCATACAAGTCAAGTCCCTCTAACAGGTACCACCTCTCATCTTTATCAAACCCTAAAGAAGGTCCAATATTCAATCACATCCTTTCTCTCACTTACAGCTCCAATCATAATGCGGAATATCATCCAGCGATTTCCCCAGACATTGGTCCAGCTTGTGGGCGTGTGACGTGGAAACTGGCTATAACTCAAAACTGGAGATAAGAACATTGGAAGGAAACCCATTTCAAGTAACTGAGACTCCCAACCTACATGTACATGTACATGAATATCTAATAATGTACACACATTATACAATACACAATGAATATACTGTACCTACACATGTACAAGTATACAAATAATATTGTTTAATTAATAATGCTTAATTAAACATTTATTTAATTAAAATATAAATTAATAATGTTTACATTTTCTCTGTATGCATGATAGGCAATATCACTTACCAAATGAATTAGAATTACTAACATTTGTGATACTATTTACTTAATAATAACAATAAATGATCCTCTGTTTCTCCATGCAAAGATACGTCCACTTCAGAATAGCAGGAGGAGGAGAGGAATGATCTGATGAACCTCTTCTCTCAGAAGAGGAAGATTTGAGTGAATCACAGCATGTCTAATAAGAATGTGTATGTGTATGTGTATGCATTGTTGTATTTTATTAGAATGAATTATTCAAACAAGATTTTGAAAGTGAGAGGAAAGATCGAGAAAGAATAAAAGGTCAACTAATAAACCTGCAAGAGAAAAGGAAGGAAGCTCAAATACAATTTCATAACCTCAAACAATCAAACGGCACTTTAGTGCATGATTTAGAAGAGGTTTGTTGAAATAATATGATACCCTGTATACTGTCAATTATTCTTACATATAGAGTAGGAAGGAAATTGAATCTTTGGTTCAAAAAAATGCTCAACTGGAGAAACAACACAATGAAGAAATAAGGAAAATTAAAAAGGTGTGCCTTGTTTTGATGATATTGTTTTACTGCTAAATTTAGAAACTCAAAGAACTAGAAGCAGGAGAGACAGACAGAATAAAAGGAATTGAAGAAGAGATGCAAGTATTAACAGCTCAAGTTAATGCTTACAGTCGTGAGGTGGATAAACAGAAAGGATTAGTGACTCGGAGTCAAGAGAAACACAAAACTGAGGTATACACAGATTGTTGTAATGCTCTTATGTATTAATATAGGTTAATGAGTTAAATGAGAGACTTGATGAAGAAATAAAGTCCAAGCAACAACTGGTAATATTTTGATACAGTGTGTGTGTGTGAGTTTAATTGACTTACACCATAGAATAATGAGCTGGCTGAGATGAGACAAGAATTAGATAGTGTATCTAAGAAACATGAAACTGAAGTATGTACATATTGTTTATTTTATGCATGTGTACTGAATTAAGTTATAAAATTAACCCCAAAAAACATCTGGTAGCTTTGGAAGTACATGTATGTGTTTAATCCATTAATTTCATAGACTTCTGAGCTACAAGAGAAATCAAGACAGCAAGTACAACAATTTCAACAAATGGTAGATATGAATGATTGTTTGCACTTAGTTTCACTTTTCTTATACTTGTAGATTCAGGGAGCAAATGAGAAACTTGAAAATGAAAGGAAGTCCAAGAAACAACTGGTAATATTTAATTATGGCAAATATACATGCACATGTACTCTCTCTTCCTATGTGTGTATGTGTATATAATGTGTATGAATGTGTTTGATTGCATGTAGGATAGTGAACTAGCTAAGATGAGACAAGAGTTAGCCAATGTATCTGCTGATAAAGAAGAATTATTAAGAGCTTACGATCAAGAACAAGTAATAGTTACTACACTAAAGAATGAAGTGGAAACAACGAAGAAAGCTAATAAAGTATGTTTATGTACATGATGTATTATAGTGTTTGAGAGTTACTATTTCTTTAAAGGTACTGAAAGACAAACTCCTGAACCTGCAGCAGCTAATAACCCCTTCAGCCACCTCCCATATTCAGCTACCTGCCCCTCATGGTGCCGGAGGATTTCAACACGCTTCTCATCCTTTACCTACCACTATTGGTACACGCCACAACATTGTTCCTTCTGCACAAGTTTCTGGTGGTTCTAAACAAGTAGTACAGAGTGATGGTGATGGTAATGGTGATGGTGTGTTAATACTACCAAAGACTGAGCAAACAGCCACTACTATCCTTCATCCTGATAGTAATCCTGATGATACTCCTCTATTGTCTAAAGAAGAAATGACTAAGATGTTTAAATGGCATGATCAACAAGGCAGCAGTGATTGGACTCAGTCACCTCAACAGGTTGAAGACTCGTTAGTAAAAGAAAAAAAGAGAAAAGAATTAGCAAAGGAAGCTGATGATGCAGTACTTGAAGTTGAACGTTTGCGACAAAATGTAAAAAAGCCAAGCTCCTTTCCTATGGAAAAACTACCTCCTCCTTCACAGCAAACTTCATCAAAGCAAAAAACAAAACAAAAGGTCAAAAAAGATCAAGCAAAGCAACGAGCATCTGATGATTCAGAATCAGACATTGAAGAGAATAAACTGATTGATAATATTGATGAAGAGATACAGCAAATGGCTGAAGATGTACGTAAGGGAAGCAGAGGCCCTACTACAGCTGAGGTTCTGTTTGATGATGGTGATAGTTCGTTACCTTACGACCCGAATCTAGTTTGCCCAAAGTGTGGAAAACAGTATCGTGTGGGAGAGATCCAGAAATTGAGGAGACATATAAATGAATTCTGCACAGGAATAAGATAGATGATTAATGGCTGTACATTTTGTTTTTGATTTTTTTTTTTGCAAACACACACTTACACAGAATTGTATTTACACTAATTTTTGGTTAAAATTTTGATTATTTTCAATAGTGGGCGTGTTATACATGTAGGCCTAGTCTCGGGGGAAATCCCACTGAAATAGATTGTTCAAGAGTGGACTATTGCTTTTTAGAAGTGAAGACTCACAAGACATTTCATCCATATTGACACATTTCTACTGAAATCAAGGACTCAAGTAAAGAAACTGCTCGTATTTGTTGTGAAGTGTACCGTTTTGTGAGTAGCATCCTACTTCTTTGTTTGAGGAAGTGTTATTTAAGAATCCTTTTGAATGAAACTCGTAAATCTTACAATTAATCCTATCACTCTTGATCCTATACCGACTCATTAGACTTGCACGTAACTATACATGCTTTGAGGTTTTGATTTTGAAAGTGTATGACTCTATTATTGATATATACTTTTGGTGTCATTCATTTTAACTATTCTGTGTGTTATAATTTTCAGGACTCAATGGGTTCTTGTCTTTGTTCTAGACGAAAGGAAAGTGATGTAGAAACTGGGAAAGTGGAAGAAGATATAAAGGATGGTCAAAATGCTGCAGAAGAAGTTAGTTTTATAAAATATTCTGATTTTGTTATTTTTATAATAATAGTGTCTGAACAACATTAGTTTATGCTAACATTTTTTCATCTGATTATTTTTTTAGCTTCCAGGGGTAGTTGATAACACTGAGGGAGTGGAAGAAAATATAAAGGATGGTCATGATGCTGCAGAAGAAGTTAGTTTTATAAAATATTCTGATTTATAATTAGTGTCTGAACAAAATTAGTTTATGCTAGCATTTTTTCATCTGATTATTTTTTCAGCTTCCAGAGGTACTTAATAACCGAGTTGATAACACTGCACCTCTTAAAGTTCAGGCTCAGGTGCCACCTGATCCACACGATCCTGCTGCTTATAATCATCCTCATGCTATTGTTGATGATGATGAGAAATTGATTAGAACAGAATTAGAGAGGGATAAATACCAGAGAGAGGTTGAGGACCAGGAACATCTGAT